GCAGTAAGTTATCAAATCCAAGTGAAAAAGTATTAATAATTAACCAGAAATTAAAACGTTAATGCATGCCTAAATTAAAAAGTCATTTTCAAATAAGAAGACCTCAACTTATTTAATGCCTAAAAAAAGAAAAAATTCTATCATCCCAGAGGGAAAAAATACTGTTTCTTCAGAGCTAAATCTTGATATTTCAGAAACAAAGATAATCATAGGATACAGCTTGATGTATAAAGATAAATAATCAGGACAGAGTTATGTAAAATGGTATCTCAAGAAGCATGCATGGACAAGAGTTCATGTGAAAAGAGGATTTCACCAGAAATAACTGGCGAACAAAATGCAGCTGCCAAGACCATCTTTATAGACGACAAGCAGTAGCGCGTGTTATCAGGCTGGTCAGTAAAGAGATGCTTACAAGTAACGAGCAGGAGAGAAAGGAAGGGTCTAGGGATAAGAAACTGAGAAATGCAAACAGAGACAAAAGGCCAGATCTAAGAAATCCTACGTAGCAAGTAGCAGTAATAGTTAGGCACAGCCCAATATGTGGGATGTGAAAATCAAAGACGACTACAAAGTGCATGTATTTTGCAGCCTGCATGAAAAGCAAGACGCTGTTAACAGTGAATAATATTACAGGAGACAAGGAAGGAATTAGAAATTAAAATAAGATGTGAAATCATGGGGTCATGTAAGTGACTAGGAAAGGATTCAGTGTCAACTGCGCTCATAACTGCACGTTCCCTCCTTTGATATTTCATCATCCAAAAAAACATAGTTGAGTCGTAAGACTGAAGAAAAAAAGTCACTAGTGCTGTATCTGCAAGTCATCTGTACAGTCCCAGTTAGCTCAATAACCCAGAAGGGGAAGCACGAAAAAAAGAGAAAGAAAATCCCGGTTGCTTAAAAAAAAAAAGTTCCCTAAGCATTTACAGCCTGAATCAAAGGCACACAAATCTTCAATTACAAGGTTTTGCCACACAACTCATGTCTTCCTGCAGTGAGTGTGATACAAAGAATGATGCCTTCGCCAGATGATTGTGCTGTCTTTGAAATTGTAAACAAGTTGCCACAGAGGCAGGAGCATGTCATCAAAGTAAAGGTTAGGAGATATCCAATGGGAGTAATCAGTAGAAAACCACTTTAGAAACAACAATGGGAGAAGAACAGCAAGTACCAGATTATATCCTAGTTGATTGGAGCTGTAAGAAAAGAGATTTTGCAAAGAAAATGTTGTAGCACAAATAAAACTACAGCCAAATCTCTTTAGCTGAATTGTTTGACTGAAATTAAAACACAATAGAACAGTCTCAAATCATACCTGATACTAAAAAAAAAAGAGCAAAAACCACAGCCCTCTGCTTGGTCTGTCATAGTACTCCATTATTTTAATGCTGCTGAAACAAACTTACGATCTGTAAATAGTTTCCAGTTATGTTTCAATTTTCTATTACAGACAGAGCTAAACGACAGAATATACAGTAAAGCACAGTCAGCATTGAATTATGCTGTTTTACACCAGCTGAGCATGGCGACAGGAAGCTCATTCGTATTCTCAGTGCATTATATTTCTCGTATTTTAATGAATCTTACCAAAGCAGAGGTGAAGGCAAGCTCTATCCAACCAGCTTGCAATCAGGGTTCAGGATATTACAGCAATTCAAATGGGACAAATCCTTATGTTCCCATTTCTTACTAAATTCTAGCAGCTTCAAGAAAGATATAAATACTTGAACCCATGCAGATTATTTGACAAAATCAGGCCCTAGACAGATTTTTAATTGTTAATGGTTATTAAAAGATTGTAAAAAGTTATCAGTAAGTGAATTTATAACATTAAAGCCATGAAGCTCGCTTACCTTGCCTTAACATCTTTTATCTTCTTAAGAAGAACTTCCCTTTTTTCTTTTGCTTTCTTGGATAGATTTTCTCCTTTTAGCGTTTGGGAAATAAACGTGTCAATATCTAAATAAAGAAGGGGAAGAAAAAAAAGTAAACCTCAAAAAAAAAGATGGATACTGCTGTAATGAGTTTGTCCTGATACTACTGTGAAGAAACTGAGAAAATTGTTTTCAGGCCTACACACAGCATCGTTAACAGACATTCAGATCCTAAATGGGATACATCTGTTCTCTGATCTACTTCTGCTTAGCACAGCAAATCCTATAGTGACATTTGATTCTTGCTCACTTAATTATGCCACATAAGTCCTAATAAATTGCAGTACTATAACAACTACTTTCCATCACCTAAAGTAAGGGATAAAGCTAAAACATGGAAATAGCCTTTATGCATGTATTACTGCCATGTTATTTCAGAAGTTCAAATTACAAAAAAGGTTGAGTAATTCATTATTTCAGCAGTAACGCCTACCCAGCTACTAATATATGTGACTTACTGGTTACAGTATTTTCAAGTGTTCTCACATTGTCTCTGAACTCCCTACTTGACTAAAAGTCCATATCCAAAGTCTTAATCCTGCAAACAATTAGGTAGGCACAATAACCATATCAAAGGAGCAAAGCTCAAGTGTGTACTTGAAGTTAAGCATACCTGCACTTGTAGAATCACAAACTAAAGCTCTAACCTGCACTGTAATGTTTAATTCTTATACAGAAGATGCATTTATATAGTCATGTAGAATCAAAGCATTTCATAAAAGTTACCATGGTTCTTTGTAATACAGTAAATATCCATTCCATAGGATAAAAACAATGCAGTGACTGAGAATTTGGGGGAGTGTAACTTCTCCAGTAGTATGCTTTCTTGGTTAACAAAAATAATAGCCAAAACTAACTGCAAAAGTTTCTTATAATTACCAACCAACATATGAATATCCTGAGAACTGAAAAGTAGAAATATGATCAAAAAATCCTGCTTGTTAACTTAAATTTTTCAGCTGTATGGATAATAACTGTTCAGTGAATAGGAAAAGCATACGTAAGTAACACTCAGATGTTTGCATGCAAAAGTTTACATTTTAAAACATTAGATGAATTTTACTGCAGATTTCCTAACTGAAAGCCTTAACTGCCTGCTTTTTTATTTAGAAAACAGAAGTTCAACAGAAACATATCCCACTTTATATTGCAGGCTGCAAGAAAACAAGTTAAGTCAAAAGTTATTCTTTGAGAACACTAGCATAGCTATTACAAAGATTTAATCCTTTATAAATAATTTACCAGATTATTATTTAGATGTTTAGATTGGCTTGCTGTCGTCACAAAATGTGGCAAAATCTTCATTTTCTAAAGTGTTTTAGAGTCCTGAAGAATGATATTGATCCCCCTTCCCCATAAGACGGAGAATCTTCCCCACTACATTCTCCAAAGCAGTCCTGAAGGGTGGGGAGCCACACTCAGTTCTATGGCATTCCTTCTTTAAAAGGACAGAAGGAAAGGCACTTAACGTTTATTAATGAATCCTCCAGACACACCCCCAACAGCCTCTATGCTGTACACCGAGCATCCCTGGAAACATTTTGTCCTAACCCACGGAAAATGTATACATCTTCATAAATTCCTATGATTGTAATTTCCAATCAAGCAGGCAAATGAGGATCCACACAATCCCAAGACATTGACAATCCACAAAAACTCACTTAGGTCAAAAGACCCGATACTTCTACTGCTGAGGGCAAAAAACAAAACCACCAACAGTTTTTCCCCTCAATAAAACCCAACAGGATTTTCCAGTACAGACCAACCTTTCACTCTGGAAGGGACACGCTGATTAAATATTTGTTCCTTCATACTTTTACATATTTATTTAAAAAATTAGATAGCAGCTTCAAAGTTCTACGTAGGCAGCAATATGTGAAAGCTTAACGAAATTAGTCACGTTTATAAATAAGGAGCGATGCTTGCACAGTAATCTTTGGACACTAATTAATCACAGAACTTTGCCTCAGCCCTCAGCAGTTTTCATTTAAACTCAGTGGGCTTCTTTACTTCTTGGAAAAGCTCAAAACCCAGCTGAGAACTCGGTCGTCTCTGGTTTTGACTGACTCTCAAAGCTTTTTCCAAACACAAATGTTGAGATAACTTGGTTTCGTTTCCCCACATACTCCTTAATTGTATTATCAAAAGAAAGAATTACCACTTCTGGCTTAGAACACACTGTACATATGAAAATCTGAGGACTAACTAAATTGTCGACACAACCTGTTCTTTTCTGGAAAAGCTTGGACTTCAAAAGCAGAAATAATGCAGAATTTTCAACCATGGAGGTACAGGGCTGAAGTAGATGCTCCATCTCTTCTCACTAGAGGTAGGTAATGAGATGGAGGAGGAAAAGGGGGAAGGAGAGAGACAGAAAGAGAGCAAGCATGCACAAGCTCCTGATAAGTTTGTTGCTTCTGAACAGCAGCAGCAGTTACAGAGAAGACATCCCTGGGATGGCTTCCCTCTCCTGTGAGATTGTAAAACAAGTTCTGTGAGCTTAGGTAGCCACAAACAGAATGCACTGTTCTCATCATGGAATACTATTACTTCTGTGTGTCCAGAGAAAGCATATAGCTTGATTCATCACAATGCCAAAATATGAAGACAGACCTGATGCATGCCTGACCTTCAACAGGATGCTAAAGAACCAATATACTTGGAAAATTACGTTACTGTATCAGATTTTCTTATCTATTCACAGTTACACAGCATGTTACATATCTTGCTCAAGCCACCTTTTGATCTAGCATTGTAAATCCATTCAGGATGTGCCAGATGCACATGAGATTAGTAACTTATACTAAGCTCCTCTGGACAAGAAGCAAGGAAGTTATCTAAGTTATGATCATCTCTTCACTACCTTGTACTTCCACACCGCGTATGGAAGGAGCAATCCCTGCTATTAGAGAGAGCTTCATCACTGGCTTAACTTAAGGGAATGTTCACGCAATTTCTCTGACGTTCCTCAAAGTGATTTACCTTAGAATGAGGACAGAACTCAGGACTTCAGTATGACAGATGCAAGTCTCGGAGTGAGCTTCAGACAGACACAGCAAAATTTACCCATTTCTCACCACTATTCTAGTCACTTACTTGCTCTTCCTTCTCCAGGATGATCCAAAACTTAATCTCTCCTCTGCTAGTTTAATGCTACGCAGAAAAGGAAAGTGTAAGCCACTAGTCACAAGCTCTTCAGTATAGATGTGTTTCTTTCATGCTTCAGTTGAGGAATTTAAAAAAGTAATAAAAGATAAACTCCAAAAAGAAAACATCTTTGAACATATTTCTGATTGAAAAGCACTTTTACTAATCAGTTACCATAGAACAAACAAAACAAGTTATCTATTTCCATAAATAGTTTGTTTCTAAAAAACTGAACAGCTATTCAGTATCACACATTGCAGAAACTCAGCTGTTCCCATTGAAAACACTAAAATTACAAAGAGAAATAAACTTTGGAAACCTATTCAACACCTCTTAACTTTTTTTAAGCTTGTGTGTTAAGACTGCCCAATAGCTTGAAGACCCATATTCGTTGCTCTGTTTCTTAAGGGTCATAATTTTAACTTTGTCTGAACCATGCCCCAGAGAAATTACTTGCTTCCAGAAATGAACAATAGCTGCCGGACTGAAAGATCCGATTGATACGATCCACTCACAAATTGCTCTGTCAATACAGGTTACAAACTGACAGAAAAGGGAAGTCACGCTACAGTCTAGCTCTGTCCACTTCAACAAGCTCATACAGTTCAAAGCTTAATTGCCATTTCATACAACAGTCAAAAGCTGAAAAGCCATTTTAATTTCATTTTCCCCTATATTCCTTTTACAAGGAAAAAAGTTGTGATTTTTTTTGCTTTTCATTGTTAAAACTTTTTGTGGTTCTCCTTACTTCCCTGACTATAAACAGACAACACCGCAAGTTTTTCATCATTTTAAGTCTTTGGGGCCATTTTCTTTAATGAAGGCTGAAACTACACAGATGGGCTTTTTCAGGAATGTCGTAAATTTTTAGCCCAAAGCAAGTGCTGCGTTAAAAAGTGCTAATCATAACAAATCATAGCACTTTTGTTGTTTACAGGGCTTAATATCATGATTGTAAGTCGCACTTACAATAATTACAATAATTATCATTATTGTAAATAAACAAACATACTTAGGACAGAACTACCTCATTTTTGTGTCAGGACGGGCCAAACGGACTCTCATAGAGGCACTCAGACTGTGCCCTGGGTCTTCCTTTCTCCCCTTGTCCAGTAGATAACCAAAATGTTGTCTATCGCATTATCAAGAAGTTAGTCACTTCTTCATCACCTGATGAGTTCATGCCATTCAAATGACAGAACAATTATAAATTGGCGATGAGATAGGTGTGTTTCTACTCACATGGCAGGGCACGCACACAGCTCCCCGTCCGTGACCCGAGGAGAATGCAGGCTCCTGTTTCAGGGCTGGACGCTCATCCGTCATATGACAAGGGACACTTGCATGGGGTCACCTGGCGGATGCGCTGCCAGTCACACAAGAAGGGAATGGCAGGTCAGCAGAACAATTCCTCCAGCCACCAGCCTTTTCCCATCTCTCTCCTCTGCCTCAAGGACTCAAGAGTGCCAGAAGCCGGCTGCAAGCCAGAGAATTTGGGAAGGCAGGCCAGAGAATTTTGGAAGGTAGCTGCAAGCTAGGCACATTTGTGCATACACACTGCCCAAAGGTGACCAACATTAAACAAACTGCCATGTATCTTTCAGCTTTACATGGGCTGGCATTAGAAAGCAATTAATTAATTTTATTTCAAAGCTTTTGTGCAATTCATTAATAGGGAACAGGTCTGAATACAAATTATCAAGCATATCTATGACTGCCTGTCCTCTTGAATCAAGAAATATGAGTATTTTGCTTCTGCTCTCCCCCTTCCTTCCCAACTATATTTAAAAGCCTCTCTCCAGAGTTTGCTAAACTGTCTTTTAAAAAAATATATATATACTTATACAGAAACAGAACACATGATGTAAAATAAAAGTGACTGACACTCTAAGTTGCCTAAAAATATCACATTGATCCAGCCTAACAAGTAGGTGAGCATTTCTTTTACCGCAAAGTCCTGGAAAGGATGGCTTTTAGAAACTGCTGTAGCTTAAATCCACAAAAGCAAGGCTATCTTGCCAAGTTGCCACAGACAAAGTGAGTATCATGACAAAACGTTGACGCTCAACAGTTTCGTTAGTGATTTAGAAAGCAGAAGTACACCCAAACTGCTAAGACTCCTCAAATGAAGTAAACGGTTAAGACAACTCTTTCAAGAAGTTAAAGAAAAAAGATATTATAATCAAAGATATCTAATCTCAAGATATATCTAATCTCATTGGCTGAGTAGTTGAACATCCTCTCTCTACATTAAAGAGGTAAGAAAAGATCAAGCTGTAACATATTAAGCATATCATGAAAAAACCACACCAGTACAAATCATGATCAAGTTACAAAGTAATTCCAAATGAACTATAGTAAAAAACGTTAAGGATTAACCTAAAGATTTACACTGTATGCCACATTATGTTGCATCTATTGTGGTTTGTTGACATATGATTATGAAAGAAACGTAAACCCAGTCAGATGAGAAAGATAGACCCCACGTTAATTGAAAAAGACAAACTAAGTGAATAATGAGTATATAAAAAATAGCCTATGCCATTTTTATCACCCGTATATGACACTTATTTTCAAATTTATGGCAGAGACAATTGAACTATGTTTCAAATCACTGGAGGTTATTTCTTACCAGCAATGCCTCTGCGCATTTTTTCACCTCACTATTTCTATTCTTATTCCATTACTATTGAAATACATATATATTACCAACGCTGTAAATACATGTCTACTTAGAAGATGTCTACAATAATTGCCCTGGTTTATCTTGTAAAGATAGATTTTTCAGCAAGAACCAGCATTCGTTAAAGCCTTGGAAACGTGAAAAATGATACTTTAAAACAAAGAGTAAAGTTTTAAACAACAATATCCTTTTAAAATTGAACCAGCCAATGAAAAGCAGCTACACTGTACCTAGGTGGCTTTTCCTATGACAGAAATATAAGGAGCAAGTCCAGCAACAGCTGACAGGTCAAAAAAGGACAGTTAGTTTTCTGGGCATCAGGGGTAAATATAACTACTGTAGTGCCCAAAAATAAAAGGTAAGCAAAATTAAACTCTTGCACTGGATCCACCGTCTTGTAGTTTTCTTGCCTTGCCCTCTTCTGCATGCTATTTCCAGGATGCAACTAAACAAGCAGGTAAACAATATTAATTTGAAGAAAAAAATAGAGGAATCACATTGAAAAAAGGCAATTTAGACAATATGACTAAGCATTTAAACAAACTGAGTAGTATCTGGGTGGAAATGGTCTCTAGGGCAAGAACATTGGTTTCTGTTTAGTTTGGGGTTTTTGTTTAGTAGAACAAGGAAAATGGATCTTGGGACTGGATATAAGGTTCCATGTGAACTAGAGAAAGTTTTATTCCATTTTCATAGCAAAAATCTTTATAACTTTTAAAAGACGAATACAGAAGATTCAAACTGGAAATACTGCAAAGTGTGAAAGAAAAACTGAATAAAACAAGCAATAGGACCCTTACTATAATCACAGCTGTCATGAAGATAAGAGGGAAAGATATAAACGATACATATATCTAACGATCATGACACCATCAAAAACTTTTAAAAAATGAAGAATCCTTAACTCCTCCAAATAAATCTCCATTACTGAAAAAACTCAAGATTTTTTTTTTTTTCCCAATCAAGATGACTGAAGCAACCAGTCTGATTTATGTTACAGGAGAAATAATATGCCTTTGGGGAAGAAGCAGCCTCTGAAATCTCTCTCAGCTATGGACAAGCCAAAACTTAGAGCGTGCACCAAAGAGTAAGGAAAAAAAAAAAGAGCAGGCCTCCAACAATCTGCATAACCAATAATTCGACAGTGAGGGGGGAAAAAAAAACAAAACAAAAAACCACCAACAAGTAACATCCCACTTTGCCAAACACCCACAAGAAGATCCTAAACATATAAACACAACAGAGGATACCTTTTCAAAAGAAAAAGGGACACAGTGGGGCTGGGCTTCCTTCACTAAATTCCAAGATCTCAAGCATCATCTAGAAGGTGCAGAGACACAGGTAGGGAATGAAGAAGTTACGTACACTACCACACATCTCCCAGGTGTAAAGAGGGAAACAAGAGAACAACAACATTACTTTCTCCTCCCACCAGAAGTTCAACTCATGACCAGAGGACCCTGTTTCTGTCTCCAGTGTTTCCCTCCCACCACTTGAACAAGTCAGAGAAGACAGGATGGGACTGTGAAATCCCAACAATCCTCTGCAATAAGCCCATTGCCACACTGACCCTTCCCCTTCAGCTTTACAGAAACAGCTTCCTCCTGTTTCCAACTAATGTGGTTAGCCCTGAGCTCAAGCTGTGCTTCTGCCTGGAACATTTCAGCACCGCTGACATGCAACTATAATGACCCTGCCAGCATGTGTGACAGAATTTGGTTTTGCGTTAAAGATATAATATTGTTTAGGTTCAAAGCAAAGCACCCACAAGTCAGAAAGTTTCCTGTGCAACTTTAATTCATCCCCTGGTGTGTTTATTCCCATTATCACCATGTTTAACTACAGGAGCACTTAGTATGTTTTCCAGTAGGACCCCTACTTGTTCAGCATAGTGGGTGGATGGTACTCCAACGATCAGTCAAGGCTAAGCAGGGATAAGGAGATCTGTACGATCGCTCCTCCACTTGTTGCAGAAGTTGGAAATAGTGGGCAAAAATACCAAGGAGAGGAGGAAGAGCACAATATTTATGAGATTTTGTATCTGTCACTGCCTCACTGCTATGTGACTATCAGGCTAAAAAAAGGTGCTTGTTGCTAGACATTAACTGGATGTTCTCAACAGAACCTGATATGAAGAAGTGCCCGGCTCTCATAATGGCCACTGAATATAGACATCCAGCTCACATATTTTCTGGAGAAACCAGCACAGCATGGAGGCAGGTGAATTTGAATTCTAATTCTGTTCCACCATTGATTGTTTTTTGCGACCTCAGATCACATCTTGTTTATTACACTAATTTTACTGACGGGAAAACAATAGTCCCTCATCTCAAAGAGGTGCTAAATCAGTACTTGTGAGCCATTAAAATAATACATTAAGACGCACTCTCGAAGAAGAGCATGCAGAAATTAATAACTCTCTACTCACCGCAGTCTTTGTATTGTGTAAGAGTTGCTTAATGAATAGTAAAGATATTACAGACCTCCCTTCCTTCCTCCATTACCACACCTCTTCACTACATGAATAGTTTGAGCAAAAAGAAGCAGGAGACTATATAATTAAAGATTACCAGAACCTAAACGTATCAGTGAAAGAACTGCTTATACAGTCTGAATTATTCTAGTTTCTAACTTTCATGCACTTGAGTGGTAACCTAAAGAAAAAAAAAAAAGAGAGGTTAACATACACAAACTGTGAAAAGTAATGCTGTATTTTTTAAAAAAAGGAAGCAGGTTATTGAATTTTTACATTGTATAACCATAATTAGCCTTACATTTGTTTTAATTACCCTTACATTTGTTTCCCTTTGATAATTCTGCAAGTAAGAATTAAAAGTTACAAACTATTAGTTGTTCCTCGCTACCCCAACTCCACCCTGCTGGATTTCTGCTTACTCCGTAATTACACTGTCATAAAATTAACAAGTGTTAAGCTCATTTTGCATTGAGTCCCAAAACAAAATTGCGTGTGAATGCAAGTTAAGTTGAAATTAATACCATTACAGTTGTAGAGATGTATTATGTAGCATTTATGCTACCATAATAATAAAACAAAGATTTAAAGATCATCGGTAAATCATTCCATTCTCTTCTTAACTTCAGTTCTATAGACAGCACTAAAGAAACCATCTCGTTTTCTTCCAGAAAAGCTGAAGCTGTACATACTATACAAACACTGAATACCTGTCTATAACTTCGGCCATTGATCATAGTGACTCTGAAAGAACATATACACATCCCCCCTTGAGGGAAAATAGGTGTTCTTGGTTTCACTTCAAAATACAAACTTTTGTATCCCTCTTTCCATGGCAGACTGGATAAAGATGGGGAGAAGGACAAGTTGTGTAAATGAGGCACCATGACAAAAAACCAAATCACAAACTAGAATCATCCCATCTGCATCACACCTGCCC